AATTTCGAATTTTTCACTTTCAGTGAAAATTTCAGTGAATAGCTCCTCGATGTTCATGTTCCCCTGATACTTTTTCAAAAATTTCGAATTTTTCAATTGCAGTGAAAATTTCAGTGAATAGCTCCTCGATGTTCATGTTACCCTGATACTTTTTCAAAAATTTCGAATTTTTCAATTTCAATGGATATCTTTTCGATTCTCAAGTATTCAGTTCTTAAACAATATTTCGATTGATTAGCCATTTACAAAAGAAAAAATTGGAATTATTAAAAAAAAAAAATGAATGATGGCGGAATTGAACTTGGGTTATCCGCGTGGTAGTCAAGCACGTTGACAATTTGACAACGCGCTCATTATTAAAATTTAGTGTCATTATGAGTATATCTTCAATATATCGAATAATTGTTTTCATTCAAAATTTCACAAGATGTGGCTTCCCCCTTCCGCTCGTTCTACAGTGACTAAATTTCAGTTAAACAAATAAAAAACAAAAAGCATTTATGCCGCAGAAAATAAAATTCACCCCGTCGACTTGATGGACACCCAGCATTGCGTGTGGCGCCCTCCCTCTCTTGGGGTCCAGTACTACGATGCCGCTGGGGTCACTGAAACCCCCAGAACTGAGCCTCTACTCTAGTCAATCTTCTCTGAGTTGGTCTGTAAAACAGCTTTCTCGTTTTAGGTCGATGAGTGCGCTAAAACGAATTTAATATTCATAAAATAATCATTTTGGTTATTATTATTGGCCGAAGTAAGAATATCTTGCGTATTTATGAAAGAACTGGCAATTAAAAGTAATGATAATGGGTTTTGAAAATTCGCCTTGAGCTGCGAATTGGTGGCAGTTTATCAGTCCTATAAACCCTTTCAAACACCTCCCCATTGGCATCTGTTGCCATCTTAATAAATAATTTCATTCCTATAATTATTGTTATACACATTAATGTACACATTAATTTTTTGAAAGACATGTAGTGCAACTGAAAGATAACCACGTTAGAATGACGGCTGAGGCCGGTTCTGTTGACAAACCACTGACAGCCACGCATGCCCCAGCTTTTCCGGTACTCGTGGCGAAGCCCCCTCCCCACTTCGAGTACAACCACATGGCAGTGGTACAAAGTACCCCATCACAAGCTAGTGAGGTGGCGCCAGAACAGCCAGCACCGTTAGAACCCAGCTGTCCAGCACCTACAGATTCACCAGATTCAACAAGCCAGGTAGAGCCCAACCGTTTGGTCCAGGTAATCGGCGATGCCCAAGGTACCCTCATAACGCCACAAACATCTCATCACCTAGACAGCAATTGTGTTAGCAATATCTGCAAAGCTATCACCAACATGACGCACAAGAATAGTGCTAAATTGATGATCTGTGCAATAGGCATATTCGTTTGTTACTTCTACTATGGTGTGCTTCAGCAGAAGATAACTCAGGGTATTTACGGTGAAGGTGAAAATATTGAAAGTTTCACCTATATGTTCGCGCTGGTATCGTTTCAATGTGTCATTAATTACTTGTTTGCAAAGCTGTTATTGGTGACGGTTATGCGAGAGGGTGAAGATAGTACCAGAACAGTTTACTATGCAACTTCAGCGCTTTGTTATTTGCTGGCAATGGTCAGCAGTAATATGGCACTACAGTTCGTTAGCTATCCTGCACAAGTGGTTGGAAAAGCTGGCAAGCCTATTCCAGTTATGCTTCTGGGGGTTCTTCTGGGGCACAAAGTACGTATTCATTTTTTAATTCACAATTTTTTTTGTTTAGGAAATACTCGACGATAAATAATACTTTTATTCTCTTTATCAGTCATACCCTCCTCAGAAATACCTATTTGTCTTCCTAATCGTCCTGGGTGTGGTCCTCTTCATGTATAAGGATGGGAAGTCTTCAGGGAAATCTGAACGTGTCGGATTAGGCGAGCTGCTTCTATTCCTCTCATTAGCAATGGATGGATTTCTTAGTGCAGTGCAGGAACGAATGAGAGGAGAACATCAAACAAAATCTGGACACATGATGCTCAATATGAACTTCTGGTCCATGATATTCAGTGGAATTGTCATTATAATATCTGGTGAATTAGTGGACTTTGTAGCATTTATAGAGAGACATCCGAGCTCTATTATTCATATTTTGACGCTGGCTATGGCCGGCGCATTTGGACAATTTTTCATATTTTTAACTGTAGCCGAGTTTGGTCCACTGCCGTGTTCGATTATAACTACTACTAGGAAATTCTTCACTATTTTGGGCTCAGTATTACTATTTGGTAGTACTCTTCTACCAAGACAATGGGTGGGTACAGCGATTGTATTCTCAGGATTGTTTTTAGATGCTGTTTACAGCAAAAGTAAAAGTGTAAAAAAACAAACAGATAAATAGATAAGTTCAATCGAATTAACTTCCAAAGTTTTTGATAATAGATAGTATTATTAATTCATCTTTTTGACTTTCTACCGACTTTTGAGATGACACATGCGACAAGTGACTTATAAATTATTTCTACGGATTCTCCCAACATTTCTACCTGACATTTTTTAAATTAATTTGACTTTTTGAAATATATCCATGATTGCTAATTTTATTTGTTCTACTTTATTTACTTTGATGAACAGATTGAAACAAATTGAGTTAACAATTAATCAACCAATTATTTTCTGGCGTGTTCTGGTGAATCGCATTGGAAAAGGAGTGTATGACTTGAGGCCACCGACAGTGTCTTCTGAAATTTATTCCTCCACGTCGAAAACGACAAGGAAATCTGAATTAATGAGGAAAATACTGAACAAGGTCGTAACAAAATTGTTAAATTCCTCAACAATGAATAAAGCAGCTATTGCATACGACAGAGGATTGTTATAGAAAATACTATGATGACTACACCGATACTTTCTCCGAACTGAACTTGTTTCCATTGAAATATTGGATAGGTAATCATCACTTTCAAATTTTCCAAAATACCTTAATGAAGGCATTAATACAAAAGCCCCTCCAAAAAGACTTTATCATCTTTTGCAGTAGTTAGTCCCCCGTTGACAAATTACAGATAAAACCTTGTCCGAGTATCGGTACAGGTAGGAGGGAGGTGTAATCAGCAATTTGTACGATAGGCCTTCTCCTTTTTAATACAGCAGTCTAGTGTTGTGCGGTTGTATCGTATGAACCGATAATTTTTACTTTTTCTAGCCTATTTATTACGAAGAAGATTCCCTATGTGTGCCTAGCAAAAAGATAGTAGATAACAATGACTATTAGATTACATACGGTTAGAATTGCAGTGGTAGTTTTAGTTGTTCTGTTTGTCAGCATCGGATCTGGTGAGAGCGATGAAGGTACGTAGACATCTACTTAGATGAATCATTCAAGCACTTTAATTACCATCGTAGAATCGAATTAATGAGTCATTCCCTGGAAACAGTCCGGAGACAATGGAAACGCCAGGATAGCAATAACTTCAATTTGTTGACATTGACAAACACTTCAGATAATGGTACACATGAGACAAACTGCTCGCCACACTCCATGGAGGAGTTTCCCACTGACCTCTTCACTCCTGCCCAGAGGAAGAATGGCGCGGTTTTACTTCACGCATTCTTCGGTTTTTACTGTTTTTTACTCACAGCATACGTCTGCAACGATTATCTCCTGCCAGCGTTGGATATTATTTGCGCAGAACTCAAGATCAGTGCTGATGTAGCTGGAGCTACATTTTTAGCGACTGCCAGTTGTTTTCCCGAGTTGTTTGTCAATGTCGTGGGTACCTTTGTCACAGAATCGGATCTCGGTGTTGGAACGGTTGTTGGTGGTGCTGTATTCAATACCTTTGCAACACCAGCTTTCGGCGCGCTATCCGCTGCTCAGGTATTTCAACGATTTCCGATGATTAGCCTTAAGTGGATATTCGAGATTACAGCGATAACAATTTAACTGCTGAGCTTTAGATAATAGTTTTTGTATATTTTTTATTCTTTTCTGTTTAATTGGGAATCCTCAGTCTATTCCACTTGATTCATGGATTCTATCGAGGGATTGCATTATTTACGTCTTTTCGGTGAGTGCTCTTGTGATGGTGATGTGGGATGGCAGAGTCAAATGGTACGAGTCTCTCGTTCTCATCATTTTATTCACCGGATATTTCGCTACTTTATTTCTCAACAATAAAGTTATTTTCTGTACGAAGAAAATAAAGGAACTATTCAGGAAGAAATCTCAACTTCAGAATGAAAATGGTATTTCTTTGTCAATTATTTTTATTGTTGTTTTATTGTTTTCAAACGAATGCAGAAAAAAAAGTATATATATATATGTATATATATAATTGATAGAAGGTAGGTCCGAACACGAGGATATGCCGAGCGGAAGCTACAAACCGTTTGTTCATGGAGACTTGGTTATCGAGTATCGGAAGAGTATTCAACATGTGAAGAGGAAAGAGATGGAGGAGGGAAAAAGTTGCGATAAGTGCACAGAGAATGTTGAGGAATATATCGAGCCAGGTTTGATAAATATCGTGTATTAAATGAAGATTTGATGGATTGGCATTGGAATTTATCTTGGAAATTGAATGGTTGTTGTAGCTTCACCATTGCATTGTCCAACTGGTGGTATCTGGAGCCAGTGCTGGTTCTTGTTCACATGGCCTGCCAAGGTTATCCTCTTCCTCACTATACCTGACACACGATGGAAAAAATTCAAGAACTGGTATCCACTGACTTTCATCATGTGCGTCTGTTGGATTGCCGTGTCGACGTACTTAGTCAGTTGGATGATGACTATCGTCGGGGATACCCTCGGAATTTCCGACTCGATAATGGGAATCACCTTTCTATCTGCCGGAGGAAACATGCCAGAGCTCGTTTCAATCGTTATACTATCACGTCAAGGTAATTCCCGTTTCCTTATTATTATCTATAACTGATTATCATGGGCGTATCTCTCCCGACAATTCGTCGAGTTGCGAGGTCATTGTCCAGTTTTTCAGTCACTACTTGAAAATTTGAAAAAAAAAAAGGGTAATTCAACGAGTCACGTGATTCCTTGTTTCAATAATTTCTCACGTAATCATGTGTAAACAACAAGCATCTGATGGAGATAATGTAAAGAACGCGGCGATTGATCTTGAAATTGGCTTCTTACGACTTAATATCTTGACGGAGAAAGATCTGTCAAGTGATCAGTCAAAATTCCGATGATAAAATTTTAATATTCGCTCTAAATTCCAAGATAATTATTGAAAATAAATGGAAAACGAAGAAAATAGACTATGCCATGGTTGTGAGATTGATTAAGATTATTATGTTGTAGGAAATGGAAACATGGCGATGAGTAATACACTTGGGGCTAATACATTGGATGTGTTAATGTGCCTGGGATTGCCATGGGCAATTAAGTCCATTATGTCGGGATCGGATATTATTATTGAATCTGGAGCTATTGCGTACAGCGTTCTTTCTATTATTGTGTGCGTTGTTGGATTTTTCAGTGTGACAGCCTACTACAAATTCAACTTGAACAGACAAGTCGGTATTGCTTGTCTAATTATGTACTCACTATTCCTCACTTTTACTATTCTCTTGGAATCCAATGTTTTTTGGCAAGTTAATCAACCCACGTGTAAAAATTAATTATAATCATCAATATATTGTGAAGGTCGAGGGATTCACTAGTCACATTACTGGGATCCATTCCTGATCAATCGACTCATTATCATTATTGTTAATTAAATTTTAAGATAAATAATCATCAATTTTTATAAATTGTTATGGTGAAAGAGAAATTTAAGTTGTTGGCAAAATAAATTTTTATCGTCAGATTGAATGGCAGATGACATCAATTGAAACTGGCTGCGTGCGTCATTCATTGGCTGATATAGTATAATCAATCAAAAATCCTTTTTGATTATTTTTGTGATAATAAAATTACAGGAAATCTGAGACAAGGTGTTAATTGCAATGAAAAACAATGAGGGATATTTGCTCGCACTCTCATTCCATTGCGATTGAAACTTTATTGAACAATTGGCATTGTTGACGTAACAACTTGAAAAACAATATTTTTTTTTCATTATGTTTTATTTTTCGATTTGAAAAATTATTCATCATCGCATCGTCTCACTGTATGATCGACATCAAAGTATCAAATGTGGTACCAATGCTCCACCGATTATAGGATAATTTTCATTCTGGTTTCCCGTCGTCGTCGTCAAACCATATAGATGAACACATACAATAATGTACAAGTGTCGACGTTTGTAAAAAATGAACGTTTTACATGGAAAACACAATTAGTTTATACAGTTGTTTTTCATTAATATCGCAGCAATGCTTCATTGATTCGTATTTCCGGTTGATGCAATTGAATGAAACGCCAGTTTGTCATTCCCCGAGTGCGACATGATGTATTCAATGGCATAAAACATTTTTATTTGTTATTTTTTTCAATCAATTTATTCTAAATCTCTACAAGTCCGCGATCTGATTCTTATTGGTACTTCAGGGGGGATGAAAAATGGAGGGCTAAATATGGGCTTCGATGTACAATACTGCTAATTTCTGTTGTCAATTAACAAAGTCGTTTCGTTACGATGAATAAAAGTGATGACTTTTTGTAATGCATTTTGATTAGAAATATCGTTACAGTGAATTTTTTACCGTGTCCAATGGAAAAACAAAGTTCAATTACCAAAACGAACGTGAATTAAAGGAAAATGAAACACCGACGCTGTGATTCCTTAATAACGATTGATTAAAATTTCTTAATTTTCTCTAATGATTAAACTTGGATATGTTCTAGATGAGTATGATAGTTTAAAACATCGGTATTTCCTCTTCCTCGCTTATCAGTTCAAATGGGAAAAGTCCTATTTATGAAAAAAAGTGATAATTTTTTTAAAGTAATTTTTATTCCTTTTTTTTGCACAAAAATGAAATCATCCATGATGGAGGATGAATGTTGTTCTCTCTCGACTCTCTCTAATTTGCTATTGCAACTGTATCAATTCGATTCGGTTGGGTGTATGTGAAGATAATTTATCACGACTGGTAGTTAATCGAATGATGAGAATAGATTATGTATCTCTTTATGCAAATCTAAGGAAGGCTGCAAAGCTTTGCGAAAGACGAAAGATAATAATATTCTGAGAAATTGGCTAATGAAATATGCTTTTCGCCTTATCTGTCTTTCCACCATCGTTTGCGTGGCTAAAGCTGAATTTTTTAAAAGATAATCTTTTTCTCCTTGACATATTACAATTTTTTATTTAGTATAATTTCTCCCAGCCCCTCGTTTGAGGTCATAAGGCAGTCTAAAGCGATTCCTCGACTTTCTGCATCGGTGCTTTCGTATGACCGTTTGTTTGTCAATTTTCTTCACTATTCTCGTAAGATTAGATTGTTTTGCGATAAAAAATATATTATAAGTTGCGATTCAACGTATTATTATATTATTATATTAAATTGAAAATCCTCCTATGCTCTATTCTTTACGTTCTTTACGTGTAAAATATTGATATTCCTATGTTTTTAATATCTCCTCATTGAGTAATTATTTATAATTTTTTTGTTCGTTTAATTGTTTTAAGATCATTATCGCAAGCGGATAAAACGGTCTGGCTGAAAAACTTTACGGCCCGGCACCACTGCGCAATTTATTTCATAGTTAATCACTTAATTTAGAGTTTTTTTTATTCTTTTCACTTTATCTTTGCGTGATTTCACCTATTATATTTAGTAATAATCGGGAGAATAGATTTTTCAACGTTTACCCTATTATCGACTAGAAATTCATCTCAATTTTTCCCCCAAATCTTCATCATTTTGTTGTCCGTTACTATAATCGTGAATAGAATTAATTAATTGTTTCGAATTATTATTAATTTTTTTCTTTATCTCCGCATAATTATTTAGTCTATTGCGAAATCTATATGTGAGCAATGAATGATTAAAGATACGTTGGAGGGATAACGTGCTCGTTCATCAGACAATAAAGCACTATAAAAATCAAGTTTTATCTAGACTTGAATATCATCATCTTCTAATAATTTTCTCTTACTCATTAATCACCAAATTTTATTGAAATTGATGCAACAATTGCCAAAATTTTTGTCATATTTTTTAGTGGGAGAAAAAAAAGAAAATCACCGGAATATTGAGCGGATTAGTGCGCTCTCGATTGCCACCGTTCGATTACTCGTTATTTGTCATTAAAAAATGCCCTAACATGCACGAATCATTGGCCATTTGTCGCCATCTCCCTCATTTTTTAATTTCCTCATTTTCTACATCATCCACTAAATTTTATTTATATCCAGCAAATTGGAATGGAAATTGATAAGTCCTATGACAAAACCCAAATAACACCGGGCATTTTTCATTTTCAAAAATTCTACCTCTCAGAATCTAAATTGTATTTTATTTTTTATGAGAGAAAATTTACTTAATTAGTCGACTAATTAATGAATTATTCGTGGCGAGGATGAAATATAAAGGAAATAGGGTGGATCCCTTTGTCGAAAATTACTCATCCCCGATACCCGTTAAAATAGCGAATAGAATGGTGAATAGAGTGTCTCGAGTGACTTGGGAGTATTGTCGTCGAGGATTTTCGTATGAATCATAGTTGATAATATGACGAAGGGGCGTACCATTGAGAGGACCCTGAGATAAACAACGTATTTGTTTTGGATGGTATGTCTGTTAGAGTTGGCTCACTGTATCTCACAGAATGGTAGTTTATTGGTCACTTCTTTGGTCTGCTCCTGATCATGACTGTGGCCAGCTTCGCTCTTGGGACTACCCGCCCCATCCTCAAGACTGCCCCCAGCGCTGCCATGGGGGCAGATCGATTGTCATCTAAGCGCCAGAGTCGACACCATCGGTGGACGGCACGGTTTATTATCCAGTATTCGCTCCATCTCGTTCATCATGTTTGTATTGAGCTTCGGTATCAGCTGTATTCATTTTTTTCATACTTATTTTCAATTAACATTAATCAATTGATTTGATCAACTCACCTGTAGACTCTGCAGACTCTCATAGAGCTGATCAATATTAGACGCTCCGATAAGAAGGCACTGGACACTTTCATTCTTCAGGGACCACGCTATTGCCAACTGCCCAAATGTGCATCCAAGTCTCTCTGCCAGTGAGCATACGTCCCTCAGCTTATCCGAATACTTGCGCGCCTCCTCCTCAACGGGCTTATCCTTACATCCGAACTCCGGAGTCATATCCCTCCGATGCTACAAAATAATTAAATTCATTCACCACAACCCACTCTTCGATGAGTTTCATTCAACTCACTCCCTCAAATACTATCACTAAACTTTACCTCCTTGTACAAAGATTGCGTCTCGTCCTCGGTCCAACTGAACGACGAGTATTTATTCTGCAAGCACACAAAGTACCGATAAAGTTCAATTGTCCGCGGGATCGCAACCAATTTATATTGAACCCCCAGTCCAATAAAACTTGTCCACACCACGTTAAATTGATCACGTACTTGTGAGTGAAATGTCATATCGATAAAGTGGCGAAAAAGTTTTTAATGTTCTCTCACCTTATATGAGGATCGTGAGAGAAAGGAAACACCACTGTCGTCCGGCTTCGATGAGACCATGCCGATGGTGACGGTCGACCAGGCCATCAGTCCCACCCCTTCAAATATTTAATGCACATTCCCTTTATCATAGCAAAATAAAAAACCTACTTTCATTGATAATTACCTATTTTATTGTACAGCTCTGGCATATAGAGTTCCGGTTTGTCCCTGTAGAAAAGATGATACTCCGCCTGTTCTACAATAGGTGTTACACAATTGAATTGTCGGCAATTTGTGTAAGCCTCCATTATCTCCACGGGAGTCCACCTCGATGTACCCCAGTACATCACCCACCCTTTGCTGATTACATAATTCATCGCTCGTACGATCTCTGCAAATATATTTATATTATTTTTATTCCACTGGTCATGTCTGACCACGTAGTGCTGCTACTACTGTCGGTACATATTATCGACTCTCCAAGACGAACCTTTATTTTGTATTTGCCATTTTTATTTGCTCACCTTCCATCGGGCACATTGGATCGACTTTATGAATCATCACAATGTCAATGTACGAAAGCTGCAGCCTTGCCAGGGATGCCTGTACAGATTCGATAATGTGTTTTCTGGACAACCCACGCCCCTCAGTTCTGCAAATATAGCCAGAGTTCATTCTAATTTTTGCCCTCTGATGATAGAAAGAAAATGTTATCTTGATTAAATTTGTAAAATGATGAAAAAAAAAAAATGTCTCTCTTATAAAATATTCATCAAGATGATCAATACCAGGCAATCAGATCCTCCAATGCTTAATTAATCCCATAACTACACCAACAGATTAAAAATAATCTTATCGTCGATAAAACGATATAAGTGAAAAAAAATACGTAAAAACGGGAGCGAGGCTGTTACGACCTGTATCAATAAAATGAGCAGAAGTAGCTTCTAAATAACTCGTCGTAAAAATAAATTATATGCGTTTTAGTATTCGCAACTATATGCGAATGTTTTAACGTCACTGTTTTCACGCATATTTGCCAACTCGAAAGCCCGCTCGCGATCCCACCGTAATTCTTCACGTGAAGAATTTCCAATTAAAGAAAAATAAGAGTTGTACGAAAGAAGGGATAGAGTGAAGATGCATGATGCCTCGCGCAATTGATCTTTCTAATCTGGTAATGAAGTTTAATGAAGGTTTGCTTGATAATGATGAGGTAAGGGGGAGAATTTTCGTGATCGTACTTAGTGTTCCAATAGATCTTGGTGGTGACAACATAGCTGGAACGATTCCAGGATCGGCGCAGTAGAATGCGACCAAGTTGAGACTCAGCCCGGTGGCCGCTGTGCGCCTCGCTCAGGTCAAACACGTTGATACCGCTGTCGTAGGCCAAGGCCACCACCGCCTCAGCACTCTCCTCATTGCTACATCCACCGAATGTTGTCCATGTACCTGTGCACAATGTTACACTCACCATTCTCACCATTCTCACCATTCGCCCATCGCATTTATATATTTATATACATCAGGCTAAATTATGACAGATAATGCTAATGGAAAAAGAGATGTTCGAAGGCGCGGTGCAGCATAGCTTTGGATATACATATAGCATGCGAGTATCGATTAATTTGTGCCGCAGGGATTCAAGTGGCATACTGGTTTAACGTGTATATCTTGTTCCAGTGCCCTCGTGAATAGCCAGGGTGGAATGTTTGTTAATCAAAGGTCACCTACATTATCCATATCGAGCCATTGGCCATTTCCTCCGGACACCTCTTTTTCCCTTAACTTTCTTTCTCATTTTCTACTGCACACATCACTTGAATTTTATTAAAAAAGTAATTCGAGTTATAATTTGCCAAGATTGCGTTATAAAATCGTAACGTCATATGATCTCATAAACTCACCGATAAAATTCAATGAAAGCACTTGGCTATACTACAATCCACCTGAGACAATTGAGATGCAAAACAAAGTCCGTCACACTTGCATCGCTCTACTTGGATGCATTCAATATGAGATAAAATAAAATAATCGAAAGATGCTTGGATAATGTGGAGTGATGAAAATGCCAAGTGTGGAGGAGGAAATGTAGTTGGACGATAATAAGTTCCTCCTCCCATTGACAGTGACGAGTAGCGACATTCAACAATGAAATCCGTTGTCATTGTGAGGGGAATAATACGAGTGATACGGGAGGTACATACACCGGTCCTTCCACAAAGTACAATTGACTTTTGTGCTGTTTACCCTGTATTTTCTCATTTTTCTTTTTTTCTTTCCCCTCTAATTTTTCTTCAGTGATTGACACTTGGAGGGGTAGTCGAAGCTCTCAATGAAGTGGAAAGGTTCATTCGAGCTCAATTTATGATTTTTTCTTTCTCTCAATTTGTGTTCCATAACTGTCCCGAACAGCTTCATTGATGGTGAATTGACCGGTCTCATATTGAAATAATGCCATTATAGGATATTAGATGCTATTTTTAGTCATGATGACTTGGTATATTTTATGTTTAAAACCGTTTTGCAAAATTGGATTATGGTAAAAGAGAGAGGAAGGATTTCATGTTTTTTTCTTTCTTTTTTTCAACTAGAGGACGGGGGGAAGTGTGTGCCCCAGATTGTCTCTACCGACGTAACACATTTGCCTTGTGATATAATCCTGTTGGCAGGTAGACAACACTTGACGTCTACCTCAGCTGAGTCAAGCCGATGAATGTTTGATGAAGTTGAACTATCTTGATTTGGAAGATTTATTAAGTTATTTTCACTAACAAAAAGCCTCTTGTGTGACGTTAACTCATTAATTTGGTATTTTTATTTTGAAATATTAACAAATATATTGGGAAAATATTGAAGACTGCATTGATAATATTGATGAGAGAAGTATGAATGAAGTGAATAAAATTAGCAAAAAACTAAAAAGACCAGTGAGAAGTAAGTCGACGCGCACAGGGAGTTGGAATCGATATTCCGCAGACTGATTTCTCAGAAATTCACAATGGCGAAAAGGGTAGAAAGCGTGAAGTGCACCCTCTATTGCTGAACTTGTTGGGGTGGAATAATTGTTTATCTCCTTTTCGGAATAAGATATGAGTGATGGAGGAATTGATAATATTTATCATCTGTGTAATACTGAGCATACCTAATCCAACATTGGAAACACGTAGACCGCTTTTGCCCAAGTTGCGGTATCGAATACCTGGCGAGGGATGCGGAGTACGATGTCCCTGTACCGATATACATCCAGTGAGTAGCTGTTCCTTGGTTCCTTGTTGCGTTGTGCTGCAGTGAATGTGACCAATTGAGTCTGGACCACTACCACCGTTGAACTCTTCCATACAATCCAGACTCGCTATTGGAGCACGACACCTGCATCAATCAAACCACTCCTCTAATTACATCTATATATTCCCCCCATGCATTATAATCTTAATCTATTGACTTTCGACCTGTATACCGACTCATCTGAGCCTCATATATATATACCTACTTAATTTTTATGGAATATATAAAATGGAGAGCAGTGAAAAATTGCCGATGTCACGAGACCACCGCCAATTCATTGTCAACCAATAGTTCTCCACTTTCAACATATTTTATCAGATATTTTGGGGCAAGGATATGATTTTTATTAGAGCTCCTTCGAGTTACAAAACTGGGCGGCAATTTTTCTAACAGGGTAGCATTAGAGTTTTCCGTTAAAAAAAATTCTCCCCGAATTTCTCTCCAATCTATTAATAAGACTTAAGGTGAATTTAAAAAAAAATGGTATTTGAGTTAGCAAGGGGCGGTTAGTTAGGAGGCTGAGTTGCCTCGAAAGCGAATGCCACACATCCCTAGGCTGCTTAACGGAGCGTTTGAAGTTTCCTATCCATTAAACCTCATCAGCCGATAGCCGTCCAATAGTCATTTGTCGCGCTTCTTCTCCTTTCCATGCCCAAGCCCATCTTCCTGAATGCCTTCTCTTTGAAGAGCCACCCTTACTGGAGTTCGATGGAAAGTGGTCCTGTGCATGACATCACATGTCAATGAAATCATCGATACTACTACTATAGAGAGCCCGACATAACTGGATAAATTTAACTGGAAGGAAGTCCAACGACAAACACCATATCCGGCGACATTTCAACGGAATGATTTGCTGGAAACTGCACAAGCGCATTTCCTCCTTTGCATTCATTTCTCCGTTCCGCTTCTTCTCGACCTTTTTTTTTTATTCCTTTGAACAATGCTTTTTGTTTCGCTCACTGAGCACGTTAAGCTCGTAAAAAAGATTCTACCTTCCAACATTGCACGAGTGCCATTTCCACAACCTATTCTTTCCTTGGAACTACTCTATGTTGCGCATGGGAAAAAAAAATCTTCATTCAAGAAGTCTTGTGTCGTTGAATTACACTGTTAGAAAATAGCCTTACAAAACTCGAGTATGAATGCTTCAAGTGGTCACAACTAACAATTTAAATTAAATATTCATGTATATTATTGTTAATTAGCTAAATTGCAGAATAGTCCATGCGCAAAGTTCTTCTTCATGAATAATTTTCTTCCCTAATCAATGAATTATTAAGAAAAAAAAAAATCAAGTAAACGTTGATTTTGCCAGGCTGCTGGTAGCACGAATAATTAACTTTCCTGAATCTGGAGTGTTACCTACACATTGGTACGATATTGAACGCCCCAATTAATCACTTATTCACGCCCTTAATATAGCGGGAGTGGTTGGAAAACAAAGTGGTTAAAATAATAATCTCAATAATTCTTCAAGTGCCTGAGGGAATGGAAAATGAAAAAAAAAAATAGTATAAGTATACTCAAATTTCAGGCAGAAAGCCTAACAATGGGTCGACCCTGACCTGTATTCAGTAACTTTTCAACGTTGAAAAGTTTGTTGGTCTGTTTGCTATTTGTGTTTGTGGTAAGAAGAAGAAAAAATGAAAGTTGACGAATGAAAAATTCACAACTTACCGATAAATAGTGGGCAGTGGGTAAGAGTCGTCGTCCTCCATACTGCTGTTAGTGTTAGCGTTATTGTTCGTATCATTTCCCGCATTCGAGGTATTTGCTAAATTGCATAGCATTAATTGTGACATGACAAATAGAATATATGCGCTTGCAGAGGTAGGGCAGCGCGTTACCACGTCCTGGTGGTACGTACATTCGGTGTTAGCTCACCCTCACCTCATATCCCCCGCTAGATTTTATTAAATCCACCACTTTATTTATATTTATACCTCCACTTTAACACGAACAAACCAAATTATACTATTTTCCGACTGTCAAACTCATCACTTATTCTACTATTCATTCTTTCAACCAATAAACACAAAACTCGTTGAATTTTTTGGATTTTCTTATTATTGCACTTACAGTATTAGGCACTAGTTTATTGAAATATTATTAGGCACCTAAATTTTTTCATCCGCTATTAATGTTCTATTTTATCCTCTTCTCACTGGTTATTATAACTCATTCCTCATTCATTACTCATAAAAAATTCAATTTTAAATGAAGAAATTGAAGAGTAGGATGGAACTAATTTGCACTACGAACGAACAATAGAATTGATGAAAAACAATCAACCCCCGAGAAAATATGAAAAAAATGAAAAGAAAAAAAAATGGAAAGAATAAGTGGACACGATGAGGTCGATATGGTTGTGGATGTTCCACACTCCCTTCCCCCCACAAAAAAATCCAAGAACATCCCACCCAACCCCCTAACTCACCTCCATCCGAGTCTCCATCAGAAGACCAGAACACCTGAAGACCCTGAAGACCTCGCCGAAAAAAAAAGAAAGATCTCAATCTCTAAACGAAAATCTATCCCTCTAACTCTAACTCGCACTCGGACAACCTCCCCCAGCGGCATGTACCGTGCGTCATACTCGGCATTTTCAAGTACACCCTTGGTAACATAAACTCACTATAATTTTCACCTCTCGAAATCCCCAGGCTTCTTCAAAGTGAAAAATTAAAATCCAAACAAATGGCAAAAAAATATATGACAATAATGAATTTCACGACATGTTGTATAAACAATATATTTTACCACAAATATGAAATAATTAAAAGATTGATAAAAATAATTGAATTTCAAAAGCGGCTAGTGTTGTACTCCCTGGCCGCAGTAGGCAACACTGCGTTCGGTACTCAGGTACCCGCACCAGGGGGTGGTCGGTTTGTTCGGTGGTGTACGAAAGTGGGTGAAGGGGGTGGATGATATATATAGGATGGAAGGAGGTGGGAGGTGAAAGATGAAACGATTGAGGGTTTGTGTTGGTGTGACTGGGAGAAATGGATGAAGGCCGATGGATGGGGTGGGGTGGAGGGAGTTTAAACGGCAAGGGCGCATGACACCGTTGCATCCAGCGCATGGATCGACTTTGGTATTTAATATATATATATAGGGACATAGGTGAAATAGGTGGGAGGGATGCAGCCAAGTGCAGGAGAGAGAGAGAGGGAACCTCGTGGGTTTTGGCGAGTCGGGGGAGTAAGGGGGAACCGGGGGGGACCAGGTTTTCTCGTATAAAACGGTGCAACGAGGGGTCGTCGTAGTGCTATATCCAACCGAAACCAACCCAACCAACTTCTGTCGGCAACGCCGCATTGCAGATCCAAACGCCAACGCCAGAGATACCCACCTGCACTTTCTTCTACTCTTGCCCTTCTCCTTATTTATCCCATTTTCATTACATCATTCCAATCACGCCTCTACTATTTATTCATAAGAGTCACTCTAATTACTCTCTTGTACGGATTTTATCATCTATTTTTATTCATAACCCAAGAGTATTAGTATTGTCCGAGGATGCCTTGTCCATACTTTCTTCTACTACTGACAACGGCTCCAAGCTGTCTGACAGTGCACTCGGTTATTGTAGGTGATTGGCTGACATTATTGTTGAGAGAGAGTTCAAGTATTCGGCAATATTATTCAGGCTATTTTTTTTGGAGGTATCATTCACTAATCAAATTTTATGATGGAATTTTTAGTACCAGTACAAACAGTTCAAGTTATTTTCCTTTTGTGCAAATCTGTAGGTTGTTCCAACTGGTTAATTTGTTTGACCTTTAACGAAGTGTGGTTGATGAAGGCATATTCAATGAAAGAGAATTTTTCGTTTAATCCTCCACTTCTTAATTTTAAACAAATAGTTTTTTCCTTATTCTGTTTCTTCTTTGACGCAGTGACCTGAAAAGTCAAGCATACTCAGTGGATTATCCCTATCCAGTCGCTCGATGGGGATCCCAGACGATTTTTTCTCCTAGTTTGAAGTTAAAAAAAAAATGCCGGAAGAAAGTCTTATCCGGACCTAAAACTGATCACATCGATTTCTCTATTTTCATGATTGGATTTTCCGAACATTACTCCTACATACAATCATTTGAATTAGTTTAGTTATTGTAATGATAGCATTATTTATTGTTAATTTTCATTGACCCTGTTTTAATTCCCAAAATTATTGAAAGATGACAGATGAAAAGATATGATTCTTGATAAATTTACAATTCTGAGCAATTAGGATGCATAAAAAAACATAAACATTATCCGTAAGCAGGTAATTATATCACTTCACGATCAGTAAATTTGCAATCGACCCCACGACCTGTCGAGCCAAATCATGCATATGCGTTCCACGTTTACCCTTCCCTTCTGCACTTTCCCGTTTGAAGAGGAAATGTGGACCTCAGTGATTATTGACGTTGGAATGGATTGAAACGTACAGAGAAATGTCCTTAGAATTGTTCTCTTTTTCTATACATTCCATAAAGTTCAATTAAATTCACTTCACACATGACGACCAAGACGGCTGCTCATTAAAAAATTAGCCAACCATTATTCTTTTATAATAATTTATTACTGCAATTTATTAATCTTAAGTCGTAAATTTAACTAGCTACATACATTCCACTTACAAATTTTCTTCAATTCAACAATTTCCAAGAATAAAATTTTCCACTTGTGCAACCTCGACCTAAAATCGACGCAATACAATTGACTCTTTTGTCGGCACTCACCATCACCTTCGTTGTCTCAAACTTTGTGCCAAAAAAAAAACAATAATAAAAATGATGTCCTTAACATAAAAATTACCAAAATAATTACTATAGAATAGAGCGTGAGAGAGGGAGAGAAAGAGAGAGTGAAAAATTAAAATAATTTGTGAAGATAATAATCTCTGGCTAAAATTGATTGTCGCGAGTTGAAAAGTGAGGTAAATATTCTAGAAGAGTAATGAATGTATAAAATATTTTTTTGAATTATTGAAACCATTGGTATCAAGCGTGTCATAAAAACTGTACACAAAGAGTAGAATAGAATAGAATAGAATAGAATAGTGGAAGGGAGAGGGGAGGAAATAATACGTGTGCGCTCATGTAGATATTTATATGCGAATAAATTTGAAAGTCTCTGAGTCGATATTACGTAGCGCAGCTTCAAAGACAGTTCAAAGAGTGTTATGTAACAGACATTCTGGTGCTTGAGAAACACCCTCTCATATACCTCTGACAACACGTGTTTTCTCGAGAAAGAAATAATAACGTCAGAAGAAAATACCAGCATACTCGGAGCGTAATTCGAGTATCGCAGTAGATCAATGATTCGGGTTGTGCATGAAGAATATTAAATATCGAATATTCATTGAGAGATTTATTCAATATTCTTCATATTGGTAATCCACATGACATGGCAAACCCAGATTGTCAGAGAGATTCACAAAAAAAAAAAAGTTAATTGAATTAATGAGATTCTAGGTCTAGGAGATTTCATATCACTTGACTGTTTTCTTGCAAGTTGGAAGATTTACCCTGAAGAATACATTGAGCTCGATAAGCGAGGCGAGAATGAGGAAGACTGCATACATGCAGAGACAAGCACGTCCAACTTTCTGATCAAGCTGAAATTTGTTTGATGCGAAGGCTATGTAGAGGAGTAATAGAGTCGAGAGTAGTGATATTGCACTGTATTCTAGACCGCCAGAGTTGATGCTTATGAAGTGACGACCAGGAATTGTCGGTGAGAAGGATGACTTAATGAGCCAGGGTAGGCCGAGGCATAGTAGTATGTCGAATGTGTTTGAGCCGATCGAGTTACTGATTCCCATCGATCCGTGACCTAAAACACGAGAGTACGTAATGACTGATTTTTTTAAATATTTCTCTTGATTGGCTTTCACGGATGTTAATGGATCTGGCTATCTGGCAGTATTAAAATTCATTATCAAGTACGTGACAATGTGGTATTGAGGAATAAAACATTTTTTTTACCTTGTTTTGCTACAATAACACTTGAAACAGCTTCGGGCACGCTAGTTCCAGCAGCTAAAAATGTTATACCCATAACAGAGTCTGGTATCTTCAGTGTATCGCCTATTGTACAGAAAATTATTACTAAATAATTGGATAAGGCATTTGCTTGTATTTTGCCAATTCGTCAGTGCCAAATGGCTCTTACCAATAATTGTTATCATCCAGGCTACTACGTAACTCAGTGAGCCTATCCACATTATGCACATTAGAAAAGTTATGGGAAACCATTTTTTGAATCTCGGCTTCTCACAGTCGGGAATTGTACACATGAAAATTAGGTGAATTGGCCACGTTAATATCCAAGCAGTTTTTCGAATCCATCCGCCTCGGGCCGGCCAAACTAGCAATTCATACTCGTAATCTGAAAATTCATCAATAGACAAAAAACATGTTTTTTTTATGTGACAAAAAATGTCAATATATTAAAATGTTTTATTTCCAAGTTGAACTGACCAGCATCGTGATTCTCCTCTTGATTTTTAGTGCCGCCATTCTGCAGTGGTACGTCGATGGTCGCAATTTGCTCAACTCTCTCACCCGGAGATTGCAATTTATCGGATCTTGATAAGTGTATTTCACCAGCGTCTCCTGTGGCCAAAAACAATCAAGAGAGTTCGATGAAAGCATCATATCACATTCGAGGAAAGCATCATCGAATTCAAATTAATCCGTCGCCCGAAGAACTCGATCATTAGATAAATACATTGGGCTAAATACTCTTTTATTTTCCATTAAAAATTGTCTCTGCATTAATCAGTTAAATGTCTATTCCAATGGGCAAAAGTGAGGCTAACACTGCAAGGGAGAATCGATATCTCTTCGTGACTGGGTCATGAGATCGATTCACCCTCCGGATACTCGGGACAAACGTGTTTTAAGCTCCTCCATACCCCTTTTATCAGATAAATTTCATGAACCATCCAACAGATGTTGATTCTCCTTGCCCCCTTTCACTTTTCTTTTTGAGGTTCAAACAAAATTGTAAATCGACTCGTAAAACATTGCATTTTTTTTATCACATTCTTTCCATACATATTTTGTCAGATAAATTGATGATGATGATAAATTATTCAGCCTTTTATTGCGTTTCCAATGTGGGTATGAGTATGGGTTTTTAATAACGAGCCCGACTGGACTGGACTGAATTGGATTTTTCACTGGGTCTAATAAAAAAATTGAGTAAATTTATTTTCAATGAGGATTTACCGGGAGGAATTCGGGCGTCTTCTGAAGAGGAGACACTGTTTTTCGTGCGGAATCTCGTGCACCGTTGGAAGGACTTGTCCCAGTACATAACGGCGATATAGACGATATAGAGGAGGACGAGGCACAATGCCTCATACCATTCCACCCTCTCATCGTGAATAATGCAGATTAGGATTGCAACTGTGACGCCGTACGCCAGACAGTCCCTGCTCACTGGCCACCAATCCAGTGGAACCACCTGAATATTTGAATATTTATTAGTATTTCTATTTATTTCAATAGAATTACTCAACCTATTGAACTTACAATGAGCATTGAAAAAAGTGTGAGTATAAAATGACTATGGTATTTGTATGAGTATTATGGGGAATGCGAAACTTCAACTGAGCGTTAATCTGGAGGATGTTTACAAAGACAGGTACTCTTAGCCCCTAGCCATCTCGTTCCAGCGCCATTAGCATCCCTCGAGTTTTCTCGCGATATTGCACTAGCCTCTCGGTTTCATGTAAATGGAGAATGACGCGTTAAGTACTCACGGGGAGAGTAGAAATGGAGGAGGGTGGTATGCTTCACCAGCTACAATAGCAGCACATTCCAACGCCATTTACAAGCTCAAATTTTCCTTTCTCATTCCTCTACGGGGGATGGCTTTTGCCAACGGACAAGTAAAAATTCCTCTAGGATAAGGTGAGACGGGGTTAGGGGGTTGTGATTAATTGGATCGGTTAATGGATACATAGGCGGATCAAATGTTTTGCCAAGTGATGTGGTTAACAAGAATGCAAAAGAACCAGATGAACAGATGAAAGTACGATTTTGGTAATTTGGGGCATCACCAAGATATGAAATCTCAACGGTAGAAATGTTTATCAAAACAATTACGAGTGGTGTTATCGAATGACGGTGAAATATGTGATTATTTGATATAAGTGAAGGTCGTAAAATGGACAGCCTGTGGTATCGAACTGAAAATAGCAAACTCACCATTCCTGCGCCAATACCACAGCAGGCGGGTACTGCGAGGATATTAAAGACTGCCGATCCTACTATTGTACCGACACCGATATCACCTTCGGTGATGAATGTGCCAATTGCGTTGACGAACAACTCGGGCGCGGATGTTGCTGCTGCCATAAACGTGGCGCCTGCAACGTCCTTCGACATTGACAATGCTGCAATTTTTTTTTTTTTTCATTTCATCATTTTATACTCCATCCATCTGGCGTATGATTAATTCATATTTATGTTCATTTTCATTCATTGATAAAAGTCTGCAATTAATGAGGAATAAAGCTTTTCAATCTCCAAGGAGGTTGGCATGACAAAAAGCTCAATAGACTCACCATGGCATATTCTTTCTACAGCAGGTACAAAAAATTTGTCGCATACGACCGCTAAAGCGATGAACAGGTAAAGAGATATGAGGACATGTACGACGACAGCACCGGCTTGTCGTTGCCCCTCGTCAAACAGGTCATGTGGAAAATCCTCGATTGCTGGCAGTGTGCAATTACCCACTGAATTAAATTAAAAGTGACAAAAAGTCAGAAAAAAAAAAATCACTAGGCATCAGAATAATAGCACGGTTATTATTACGCCCCTGAAAAAAATATTGGATTAAGGGCCTCATTGATACCCATAGACAAGATTCATTCTCAAAATTATCCTTGACCCCGACTCTGACAATCATAACATCTTCAATTACAAGGTGACCAATCGAGGCCGAGTGATTTGTATGAAGTGCCAGGTAATTGTCAATAGTACAAGTGCTTTAGTCTCGTGGCATTCCACGATGATTGATTAAGGTCGAAGAACCAAACATTTAGCCCACACCCACTAATCAGGTCTCATGCATGCGCTCAGCGTTCGAGCTCACAGACATTTTCATTTCATCATACCACTCAAATTTTCTATTGAAATAATCCATAATAAAAAAGTACTTTGTTGACCCGCAAATATTTTTCGTAAAATCCACAAAGGACTACAATTATTGTTTAGGTATTCAATTGAGTGAACCACGGATGCTCCACTCCCTCAAACGGAAGTCGTGGAATGTCCATCGTTTTACGTAATATTGTGAAGCTAACTTCTACTTGCTGAAAATTCAGGCGTACATCTCCTCCGTTCCTCTCTCGTTGCTCGTGTTCTATTTATTTATCTCTATCGTCTTTGTCATCAAGAAGGATTCCTCGTAGCTCGAGTGATTCCTCAGTACGAATCGAGGAGATCGAAGGTATCGAAGTAAATTCACTTAAATTCATCAAATTCCAAAAATATAGATAAATATACAAATACAATTCCATTCACAGACATATCTACTTTTGCCCCATGCATTAAAAAAGTTTCCTGAAGGCCATAAAAAAATCCCCTCGAAGCTTTTAAAATCTTCTTTTTATTTCTTCTCTTCCAGCTGGAGGTTGAAAGGATAATTTGCTGAAACGCTAGGATTTCTTTTCCATTTCCCCAAGTCATCTTTTTTTTTCTATATTTTTTGTGAACCTCGAATGCCTTCCGGTAGCAACGAAAAAGCTTCAAGTAGGAAGCGAGTCGTTAGGGCCGCCTTGATTACTTCAATTTTATGTAGCTTGTGCGTTCGCGTTATTCAATAATACAACCAAGAGCACGCGATTGATGTTGAGAAAGGAAAAAAGAAGTAGTAGTATAATTACGATTTTTTCACTTTTTCCATTTCTTGAGGTGTGCTTTTTTTTTGTTTTGTCTCTTCGATACTTTTATGTCACTCCCTTCGATGTAAACACTCCACCAATACAATTTTCATTCAATTTGTGTGAATTGACCGACGCATGCCCTGGAGGCGCAAAGGCTACCAATAATCTCTCTACCGTGTCTGCGATGACCCAGAAAATGTGCAACTCTATATGAAGTGAAGAATAAGAAAATCCAGGGCTGAGGGGATAAAATCATCGAGAACTAATGAAACGCCATTGGTAGAGTCATTGTCAAGATTTTTCATTGTCTCATGTTCAAATAAAAGATAAATAAAATCCTTCGCCAGACCAATCAATAGGTCATCTGTTTATTTTATATTTTTGGACGCATTTTCTCACACATCTGACTACATACGATCGAAGATAATTATTAGGCAATTTTTTCCAAATACGAAACATTAAATATTGATATCAATTGATAGTTTGGGGGGAATTTTATAAGTTTTTTTTTTTTTTTTTTTTTTTGAAAAATGTGGAGTGTAATTTTGTAGCATGGCAGTGCATGGCAAGATACTCGAGTGAACGTGAAGGTGGCCAGTGTATAAAGTTATACCTATGTGGACTTGATGTGACTTCCTACCGATTAAGCAACCTAAAGAAGTTAAATTGCTCTCATTCAACTCGGCAGAGTAGATGCCATTCATGCCTAATGTACGTCGTATAAACTGGCTATAACACGACTCAATAACTTGCGTTAGGCTCGAAAAAATACTCCGGGGATACATGCGAGGGCGCAAGAAAGCTCCAAAACAAATGACATCCATGGTGGTACCACGGTGGTACCACGGTGGTACCACTTGGTCATCCTCCATAATCCGTTAATTACAGGAATTTGTGAATTATCATTTGACGATCATAATTATGTGCATTATTGTAACACCCAATCATCCTCAATTTGTTGTACGAATTACTAACTCGAGTTTCCTTTGACACAAACCGCTTTTTCACTCAATTAATTGGTACTAAGTTTCACCTCGTTTGAACCGAACCGCCTCTGGTCACGAAAGGGATCTCCACATTGTACGTGAGACACTCAATGACCGTTAAAGTCATTATATGGAACTTGCCTATTTTTTCGCCCATTTTCCAGAGCCCACTTGTCTTTTTTCCTTCTTCATTCCAACTTTCCAAGGGACTCCCCATGCTTATCACTAATTCAATTGTTAAGCTTAAGTACTTGGGCATTGATTTCAAAACAATAATCAAGACTTTATAAGTTGAAAAAATTATAGCGTTTACAAATGAGTTAAAAAAAAAAATTGTGAGAATTTAATTGGTCGTGTAATGCTACTGCTATTGAAAATAAGCCGAACACTTCCACATGTGAGCCGCGATCCCCCTAGCTGCCTCCTCCCACCCTCTCCAATTAATAGACGATGGTGTCTCGAAAAATGATAGATTATAGTTAATGAACAAACCTGTATCCATGTTGTCAATCCCGTTGTCACACACATACTACATTAACAACTACTCCGAAGTGCCACATCGTTTGTTGAATGGAATGCCCCTCCCTTGGTGAGTGGTACAGCCGTCGACCGTTTCGATCGCTCCGTCGAAAATATTGGAAAAACGATAAATATTAATAATTCCCGGAGAAAATAATTGAATGAGAGGAGAAAAAAAAAGTTGGCGACCGCTGGCGTTCAACTCATCAGATTATTCTCGATCGATCAAACCCCCTGGACGCTGTGACACCTCCGGCAGACCGCCCTCGATTTTTCGCTCTTCTCTCCTTTCTACTTTCTTATTTCCTAGTCTCTTCACTGTTACGATTAAAGGGGTTTTCCCTTTTTCAATAGGAAAAATGGTAAAAAGTCCATTTGGTGAAAATATTCAAGTTGTATTGTTGTGATACCGAACGGATAGGTCTTACGTTGTGACGAGTGTGCAACGATCACTGCGAGTGCAACCAATGCAGAGGATAGACCAGTAGTTTTCATCTAGCGCAAACATCAGTAGAACCCAGTTAACTTTGACCATTCCACTTTGACAATTTACCCTCCAATTTCTAGTCGCATATAAACCAGCACTCGTGGGTTCATAATCGCACCGTCACCACTACATGTGGCCCAAGGAATACCTCGCTTTTGAAAATTCCACTTGGTTCTTTTCCCCTTCAATCCATCTGATTTTTACATTATTTACAATTGTGAAGAAAAGTTATGAGAAAACATTGCACAACTCGGTGACAAGTGACATTTCTATACCAAACCAGTAGAACCTATCGACTTCAGATGGACTGAAATTTTCAGTAATATTCTTTAGCAATTACAGCAATTTGTTAAATATTTCATGGTTTTTTTTTGCATGTGCCGAAAGTTGACGCAAATGCTGACTGAGTGTGGCGATAAAATTTCCATTTTTTCTAGGGGTTCTTCCCGACAATTTGCGTCACACGATAATTAACGAGCATATTGGTATATCCTTTGATTATTCGTTCGATTGCGCTTTCAACCCGTCAGCTAACAATCTCAGTTCCACTGTTTACAATCTCAATTTAATTCTCAAACATTGACAGAGATTAAGACACTCACTAGAGATATCAAATCACGTGCGTTGAATCAATTGACAAATAAATGGAGAAAATGCACATAGGTGATTGAAAGGCTCAATAACAACACATACCTTCGAAATTTTCCACCGGTCTGGAGAGGAAAAATCCCATTTCCAGGGTGAAATGATGAGATGATTGGCGGTAATATCGACAAGGCGTTACTCCTTTTTAGGATAATTCTATATTTTTTCAAATAGTAAAGATGGCCAGAAAATGGCCAGAAACTGTAGTGATAATGAAAGTTCCTTATTATGTCACATAAAGCACCGAGTAATTGATGTAATGTAGAGTTGATGCTGAGTATGTGGCGTCTACACTGAGAATAATGAAAATGAAAAAGCTCTGGTCGGACGAAATAAGAGGCTGGGTGATCGGGTGTTAAACTCGTGATAGCAACCCAACGTAATTGATGGTGGGGCGTTGACCGGCTCAATTATATCCTTGCCTTAACATACATTACATCTTCTGCACTGAATAAAAAATGCCTTTCATCAGTAGGTACTCGACAAATTATTTGTACCCAGGGGTTCACTCAAAAGGCTTGTGCAGAAAGGTTCAAATTTTGCGCTTCCTCGAACTCACAGAACAACTCAATGCAAGTATCATACCTCAAATATCTAAATACTTGAAGTGATATTTTTTCTATGGAAAAAGGGCATTTTTCATGAGTTAACAGTCTATTCCACATGTATTCACCTTATAGGCGATGGCAAAGTCCACAGAAGCGAGAAGAGAACGACAACGAGAGAAACGATTTTTTTTTTGCATTTTTAATAAAGCTAGTCGCTAGTCGAACATCATCGAGCATCGTATACCGACAAGATGCTCTGAAAATCAATCAAAATAATTTCACCTCTTGAAAATTGTGTGGGATTGGACTGGGATCACTGATAGACTAATCTGAAGAGCGTTATTCGCTGAATTTAGAGGGAGAGCCTGAGGATTCACAAATAAGATATGGATTGGCGCCGCTCATTGTCAGGTCCCTCTTCAACATGTGCGTGATGATGTTCAACACAACAAGAAAATTTTCCTTTTCATCTGTGGAATGGTCGACGTGAGCCAGCTGAATATCTAGCAGATATCTTATCTTTGGTGATAATGAGAGAATATTTAAAAGTGCTAGTGGTCAGCGGGAACTTCTTGTTGTTTCAGTACTTGGTGAGACATTGTCCAGGTGACTTTTCTGCATTCGAAAGAATATTTCAAACACTCAATTGTGGAAAATAATTCCCTAGAGCTCCAACAAAATATGGCACGCAGACATAGACACATGATCGGGTACAGGATTTTGCTAGTAATTGCTATTCCTACGATGTACTACTTATGCATTAGTCTAGCGAGCTTGCTGACCAACGATCCGGAGACCAGTGACAACTCCAATCGAATAAGTGAGTCTATTCAATATAACTTAAGACCAATCATATGATTATATGATTATGATTCATTTTCCCACGATCCTGCAATATTTATTCAAGATTCTCTTTACGATAAATACGATGTGGCAACTCAATGTCTCAAATTAAAAAAAAAAAAAAAAAGATAGCTGGATATCGTATTGTCGTACGTCACATCGTCTGAAATACTTGAATCGATACCCGTCATATACATCATGTACATCTCTTGTAATTCTCGTTGGAGTGTCACGTGAAGGCCATCGAATTATTTCTGCAATCTCTAGAAGGAAGGGGAAATGTAATTTGCCATTATATTTCTCCATATATCCATCACATGGCATTTTATCTTTCAGGATTAAGAAAATTGATGAATATTGGAGAAGCGGAAGTGAATGGAAGTGACAATTGTACCCCTCCCTCGATACAGGAATTCCCATCTGACGGATTTACTGCTGATGAGAGACGCTCCGGTTACATACTAGTTCACATTATTTTGGCGTTGTATTTATTTCTTCTTGTTGCTATCGTGTGCGACGATTTTTTCGTACCTTCGATACAACGCATCTGTGAGAGTCAGTATTGCTTTCATTACCGATATTACTGAGTAATATTTCAAATGAAAATTTTTTAAAAATGAGGATATATAGAATTGTCTGAAAGCTCGGATAGCCAAGTATATAGTGACAATCGATCTATCTTCGGATATATGTGATGTTGATGATGATTAATTTCAGAATTTGGAATGCCAAAGGATGTAGCGGGTGCTACATTCATGGCTGCAGCAACATCGAGTCCCGAGTTATTTATCAATGTCGTCGGTACATTCATAACAGAAGGAGATTTAGGAATAGGCACTATTGTTGGCTCAGCAGTGTTCAATATTCTGGCGGTGCCTGCGTGTTGTGGACTCTTTGCAAGAGAGGTTGATATTTCATTAAAAATTCGTAAAACGTAATAATTGGAAATCACATAATGGAGCTTTCCCGTGAAAATTCCAAGGGGCTTTGCCTTCACAATATTGCGAGAAAGCCAGGATAAATTGAATTCCCAAGGAGCTTATATAGAATGAGAGCAAGAGTAACTTCCAAGAGCAATTTAGCTCTACTGCTCTACTGCTTAAACTCTCCTATTGATTTCGAATTTGTTCATGAATCTACCAATTTTTAAGCATCTACTGCACAATTAATTATTCATTGTTATTTACTATCTTTTCAGGTTCTAGATCTTGATTGGTGGCCAATAACACGTGATTCAATGGCCTACGCGATAACTGTCCTATTACTCATCATAACTCTTCACGACGGTCGTATCGAGTGGTACGAAGCATTAATTCTCGTTATTGTCTATATTTTGTATATAGCGGGTAGGTAAAAAATTCTGGGACAGTATCACTGCTTTCAGAGCTTAATCTTGTATTTTCCATAAGACAATACTTGCGGCATTGATTTAGAATTGCTCTTTTAGCAATGTACTTCAACAAAGATATCAGCCGATGCATGGGCTCAATGGTCTCCAAACGGAGCCAATACAAAAACCTAGACGATCGTCCCCTTCTACCTAAACGTAATTCCATTATCTTATAATTTCTTATCGAAAATCCACTAGAGTGAAGTTATTTTTTTTCTCATGGAAGTTATTTTTACAGACATTTCTGATCCAAAAATCACAGATAGCTGTGAGTTCGATGAAGATGAATCGCTGGAAATAGTAAACATGACATCATGGCCCGAATCAAAATGTGAAAAATTCTGGTGGCTTCTCACTTGGCCAATTAATTTTGCTCTTCTGTGCACTATACCAGATAGTAGGAGGAAATCACTAAAATCTTGGTATCCAGTGACTTTTTTCATGTGCATCATGTGGATAGCAACCATGTCGTACATTGTTGCTTGGGATATTACAATTATTGGTAATTGATTATTGATTTATTGCATTCATTACCGAAAAAAAAAAAAAAAAAAAAAAAAACGAAATGTATGAGCCAGAGATGTATATCTACAAGTGTAAATAAAAATTCAGTTGTTACTCTTGCTTACAGGCGATACGTTCAAAATTCCGGATTCCGTGATGGGTTTGACATTTTTAGCTGCCGGAATGAGTGTACCAGAGGCAGTTTCCAGCGTTATCGTTACGAATCAAGGTGAGAGAAACTCTCTGGATATCACCACCAACGATCAATCTAACTGTCGATAATGGATAATTTAAAATAATGCTTTAAAACGGATGATGATTTGAAATGCAATTTTTAGGTCACGGTACGATGGGCATCAGTAATTCAATCGGCTCGAATGTTTTCGATGTGTTACTGTGTTTGGGCTTGCCATGGTTCATCAAAGCGGCGTTTTATCCAAAAATACCTGGGACCAGTTATGTACAGATTAATTCCGAGGGCCTAGTTTATAGCTCGGTTTCACTCTTTTCAACTCTAATTATTCTCTACTTGGCATTTTGCCTTAACAAATTTAGATTGGACCGTAAGGTCGGTCTCACTTGTATCGTTACATACGGACTTTTCCTTATACTTGCATCTTTAACGGAACTCAATGTATTTTTCCCAGTTAATCGATCTACATGTGTTCACTGACGATGTCTTATGGCTTAGGCCCCCAATTTATCCCACATTCAATTGATTTTTCATAATATTTTAGTCTAATATTAACATGTGCTAGGTATTTATCTATTTCATTGGAATGTTTAACTTTATCTTATTAAGATATTCCAAATATGATTGACATGATGATTACCAATAGGTTTTCGGTGAGATCGATCGGTCTGAGTATGCTAATATAGTAGTTATTGTGAGTGATTATATAGGGACTAGAGAATTTATATTTCTAGATATGAGAAAAACGGAATCTTTTTTATGTTCTGTTGATAGAGCGGCTCATGTACAGAGACTTATCGTTCCGTAATTGCCTATGAGAAGTAACCAGTAGAAAACCAAATAGATTCTGTTTGAGTTGTATTGCATTGAATCCCCTATCCAATTGTTTAATAGTAATATTCTATTCAAAATCTCTAGCGAAAAATAGCCTGAAAATGGTGGAAATTTTTAATTTTAAATAATTAAACTTTTTTTTGTTAAAAAAAAATTCTATTACAAGTATGATAAAATTTTAATGCATATACAATTATGTTGTACAATAAATGAAAAATTATCAATCTCTTTGAGAATATCGTAATATACCTTATCGCCTTATCAAATTAATGTGAATAACTATCCCAGAAATAAATGGATACAATATTTCTATCACTTACGAAAGAAGTATGAACGATATTGGCTTTGAGAAAACACAATAAGCTCATCTAAATCTTGGGTAACTTGCACCACCGATATTGGCTTTGTACCTTTTCATATACCTATATAACTAGTTGTATACCAAACTTAAAGGTGAGGTGATGTGAAGTGACATATACATATATAAAATATCATCAAACATAACGATGGAGATTAAAATTAATCATCTAATCAACTTCTAATTTACGAAATGAACCAGAGATGCCACAGAGCCCATCATTTGAAGCCGAACAGGAATCCTTGGGAGATATTTCAATGTACATGTCATCTAGGGCCATCAGATCATCTCTCTTAGCCCGTAACTTCATTTTGAAGGTCGCTGAAATTAATGTGAAACAAGAGATATTAAGTCTTCTATTCATACGTTCATCTATATTACAATTTATCAATGTCTTTATATTTTTTTCCACGCGGAGAAAATAACTTGTGCAAAATAAATGGAAATTATATGTATGTGTTGGCAAATTATACATGTATCGGATGATAATAGCAAAAAAATAAATCAACTTCGTCATGAGATTTTTTGCCTTTTACCTCGACTTACAAATTAGATAGGAATGAGAAGCAAAAATAATCTCCACCGAATGAATTATGAAAATCAAATAATTACCAATCATGTCGGCAAGTGGTACAACACCTCCATACTCCTTCGGCAAGATCTTGGGGTTTATATTGTCTGTGAGGTCCTCAAGGCTCTTATGCACCTATTTGCGGAAAATTTGAAATATCAATAGGCTGTAATGCTCGAGGGAGAAAATCAATATTTACATATATCCGAGATCTGAGTTTGTCAGTGAGAAGTGAGACGGCGAATTCGAGTATTTTGGAGCCGAACGATGGGATATTAATGAAGTGTGTCCCCTTGTGTCGGATGGGTGTGCTGCTTTGTATGCATTTTAATACGTTTCGAACGTCCGTCAAGGACCAGGCGCTGATGTGACCCATTGTCAGACCGGATTCATCATTTATGTGAGTGTAGCCATGTACTTGATTTTCTTCCTCGTCCATGAGGGTTTCTATGACGACGCTGTGAGCACGTGCCATGTGGGCTGATGTGAATTTGTAAGGATCGAAACGACCTACCACCAAAAACCACCAGCGTCTTCAATAACTTCCAATAAAACCTCATATAAACTCATATAAAATCTCAATCTCATTTTCAAACTCACCAACACAAGACAAAATAATTTTCCTGCCATTATCATCTCTCTCGTACATAGGTACTAGGTAGCCAGCATCGATGATAGCCTCAATATCAGGATCATTGATGTCTAGTTTCTGGAACCACTCAGGATAGAGCTGCCTGATGGTGAGATACCGCTCGAGCATTTCCTGGGCCATAGGCAGACTGAATTTTTTAGTCCGCAAAAATCTTAGAAGAAAAACAGCATCAGTCCTGCACCTTTTGATGGTTGGATGCTTGTGAATCCACTGGCGGAATTGCTCGAGCATTTGGTCCCTGATGGCATCATCCTCTCTGAGCTCCTCCTTAGCAACAGCCTGATCTTCTTCACTCAAACTGCACTGGTAATCCATATCACTGCCCATGCCCATCTTTCTGCGAATACATATTCGTAGCTGTCAATTAACACATTATTCAGTCTTTACTTGCTCTTCCCCATACTCTTGCAAAACAGCAATTTTAACATGTCAATAGATCTCTCGGACCTTCTCAAACGCGCCGATAATAAAAAAAACTAAAGAGAACAAACATCGAGCCTTAATATAATTCGTGATGAGAGGTGTGAATAGCGTATATGGAATTATTATTCCAAATGGGCTGGAATTTTTTCAGTCCGTTTGTAACACCGATGAGACACGAATATATGCTAGAATTATACGTGACGCAGTCATTTGATTACATTTTTTAGAAAGTCATAGCTCACGGGCCAGTCCCAGCAGGAAATTTATTTTTTTTTTTTTTTTGTGAAACAAATTTGAATAGAGTTATGTAAGAATTTAAATAGCTCGAGAGTTTAGGTAGAGTTTCTTTGTTAATATTTTTTAAAAGTTGTACTGATTCTCAACATACTGGCTCTGTAGATCATTTCGTGCGTTACCGTAATACTAATTATTGAGTAGCAGCTCCAAATAACCGGACGAAAACGAAAGTGAGACGGCGGCGTTGGCAAGCATAATCAAATTTCAGTCGACTTTCTATTTCACTTTCTTCACAGCGCTGTTGTGTTTAATAAATTCACCATTTATAATTGATTAGATATATTTGCGATCCGATGGTCGATGAGGGCTTAATCTGAGTAGTTGTTATTCTCGCATGAGATGAATCAACATTTACCGTATGGAGAAAATAAAGAAAATTACTTTCACTCGAGAATTACTGGAATTGGCATTTATATTATAATATATTTGAGATATAATTTAAACGATAGGAAGGTAAATTTGGCACACACCAATTTTTAAAGGATTACTGGTGGTCGCACCTCCTCGAAGAAGCTGACTGGCTGGTTACTTAAGCTCAAGTAACCTGGTTGCTTAGGTTTGCGATCAATTTAAGTGGGGAACCGCGACGAGACCCACTCCCTATCACTCATGCGATCGCTTTTACTTGAGTCCATTTGTCCCTGAACCCCCTACACTATAGCACTGGAATTTTTTTTCCTCCATTCTTCAGTTAGGTCGAAGTATCTTTATATTTTGAGATTACGTGGCTTTTTCTCCGGAGTATCAAGGGTACACTTATTTGGCATCTCGTATTTATACAGTCCTTTGCCTGGAGAAAGTGCGTAAGCGCGGGTTATCCAATTTTTCGGGCTAACAGCAGAATTTAATGGATAAAAAGGTGATGGAATACAAAATAATTATTCCCCTCTCTCATCACCATTAAGCTCGACTAAAAAATTCATTTATCCTGAGGAAAGTCTTCCACTATTCTGTCTCATCATTAATTCATTCATATAATAGTCATTCCTCTCTGGGTTTATGAATAATCCTTGTGATTGAATCACAGATGAATAGGCAAATAATTGATGGTTCATCGGGTTTGACTGTTTTCATTTCTGGTCCTTGGCAATGATGGAAATTTTGATCGCAGAAGAGTCGAAATGGAGGCAGAATTCGAAAATGAATTTTAATGAACCGGCCTTCACTTTCCAAAATCATAATCATTGTGACCAAGAAAGTAAATCTCCAAAAAAAAAAAAAAAAATCCAAAGCTTTAACTCACTAAATGCCGTTCACAAGAGTTCTTAAATCACTATATCCATTGTGTAATCTTCTTTTTTCACGAAATTGTGACCGCGGATATACCCAATAGAACTCGTTTCCGTTATTCTGACTTATCATGAAAGTTATAACTTTCATTTTTACGATACAACGAGCAATTGGGGAAAACGGTTCCACAACGATTGTCCTTAAAAACTTTCCCCACTGAATCCAGTGAATATTATCCAGATGATTTATCCAATTTACATGTTTATTAAATGACAATGAATCACGAATTGTCATACTACTATATCTCCAATTATTTAAAATAATCCTTTTCATTTTTATAATTTTTAATATTTGTAGAATTTATGAGTTTTGAAAACCACAACCACTTACTTTTTCAACATATCGCATGAAAACAATGATATTCCGACGATGTATTCAACATGTGGAAGACGGTTTTGCTTAAACTTTCAACGCCGTAACCTTGGAAGACTAGTTCTCGAGTTTAGATACCACACAAGTGTCCCACTTTTCAAGGATGACTTTGCATTACGAAGACATCCAAGATGAGAAGATACTCTGAACTTTAAAAGCTCCAAGATCGCTCTCTCTTCTCGACCATATATTTGCAACATCTCTACACACCTTGACTAAAATTTTTCATTGAAGGAAATATGTAAAGGGCTCACCTGTTGCTGAATAACTGTTTTGAGAAGAAAATATAATTTTCAATTTAAATGAATAATGAAAAGTGAAGTTTAATTTTGCAACAATTATCACGGCAATACATGGATCATTATTTATTTATTATTACTTCGGTGTAATAAGAATTTTCGGAGACGTGCGCGTGTCCTCTCACTGCGCACGACTGAAATCTCCCCGACCATCCAACAATGCTGAAAACATTATTAATTTTGCAGCGAGCGCATGCGCCGGGGAAAGAGAAGACACAGAATCTTTGAAGCCTGGAGAATTGTCCCACCTTCCTCCGGCTCTGGCCCCGGCTCCGGCTCCGGCATTGGCTGCGGCTTCGGCTTTGGCTCTAGCTCTGGCCCCGGCCCGGGCTCCGGCACCGGCTCTGGCACCGGCTCTGGCACCGGCTCTGGCACCGGCACCGGTATCACTACAACTACCTACTCACTGCAACTCTCGCTGAATGAACTCTCGCGAGTGAAAGGTATAATCCTCGCTGCAGCAGTCGTATTCCGCTTTGCTCTTAATTCCGCCCTCTTTATTTTAGAGATGACACAGTTCACCATCAAGGATTTGTATAAACAAGTGCGCCAATGAGAACCCACTCAACCGACATTTTAGCAAAATATCAACATTGAAACGTTCCTGCCCACTTTCCCTCAATTTGCCCCAAAGACATCCCTGTTTTGCTCAATCCATTACACAATTCATCTAGTCCACGCTTTTCACCTTTTTCTCCATTTTTTTCTAATTCTAACGTCCAAACAAACCGTTCATTATCATATCCTGTTCTTTAAATGTTGCAACATTTTTGGTGCCTTATGCTGGTATACTCATTTCCAGCATTCAATTATTTTTTTTTAAATTCTCGTTAGGTCCCAGAAGTGTGCAATTGCGCACGTTCATGGAGAATTAGCGCCTTAGCGCTGAAAATAAAATATAATATACTTAGATTGAAAAGCTATCCGACGTTTAACGCCATTTTAAATCTTAGAAAGACGGCCGAGAAAATGAAAACATTGGCTAACCAAACATTGGCCAAATGCCCCACCTTCCAGGCGGTCCCGCCTTCAGCTGCCGATCGAATACCAAAACAAAACAAACTGGGTTACTCCTCGCATCTTTCGGCATCCATTTATACAACGCCCATCTGATTCAAATTTCAACAAAATTAACTACAATTTTCACAGTTTTCTTTTATTCTCAACGTTTGAAATAACATGTTTGAGATTAAAACTTGTAATTAGTGAGTTTGTTAATTTGAAGTCTTGAAATTCTGATTGGTCCAGCAGCAGAGTGGCATTTTCCAAGAAATGGAGCACATGTGTGTTCTCGTCTCGTGCCTTAAAACAGGCGACTACTTTCTCCACTGACCTTAAAAATTGGCAAGAGATTGCCGAGCTGAAAAGAAAGTGCATCAGCCTGCACTCCGAGGTGAAGGCTCAACTTTGAAACAAAACTCTAATTCACGTTCATTTCCCCATTCAGGTGAGTGTCGATTTCGTATTCATACAGGAGCCATCGGATTATCCAAGCCATTACGAAATTTTTTCACCTTATTAGTAAACACTCGTTTGAAATAATCAAATTAAAGCATTTTATATTTAATTTTTATTCTCAATTATATAGGCATTCATGTTACAGCACATATTCGACAGAGTTTCCAATTAAGAATACAAAATTAGAGTTTGTTTGTTGCATTTATTTATGTACAATTTCGGAATGCACTGCGAAAATCTTAAACGAGTGACAATTATTTTCCCTTTTAAAAAAATAATTTCATCCATCATCTTTGCAGTTAAGTGGCACATTCGTGAATAATTAAATTTCTCCAAAAAAATAATTCTTTTATTTTGTATGCACCTATGCATACTGTAATTCTGCATTCGCTCAATACAATAATACAGCGAAAAGTAATATGGTTTAGATTAAAGCGACATCTCAATTTGGCATTACATTTTGTCATAATATTTTTCAACGAAAATTTAAAATCCGTTACCGCAGCCGTAATCCACAGTTTTTCTTAATCCATCTAAAATGGCCGATTCATGTGATCTTCTTGAACACAAAAAGAAAACAGATTCAATATTTACATTCTTTAATTTATCATTTAATTAATTGATTTGTGAGGAAACTTGTGGATTACTGAGGCAAGTCAAAGAATTACAATATGACGAGCCTCTCGAATGATCATTATTCCCTCCCTTTTGAGTAATTTTTTACTACTCCTGTGACTCGTAATTTTCGTAATCAAGGAGAATAGGATGATGGAATCATCTCAAGATGACGTTGTCGAAAGTAAGATCCCTGCTGTCTCTCTGAGTGGATTTTTTAAAAGGATTCCAGGGAATTTTTCTGGCAACGTGAGCAGTCGTCACAGAACCCGCTGGACTCGGTTGCCCCGATGATATCCCGGAAGAACTGCTCGCGGATACGCTTCCCCTGTCATGATGACATGACTTGATCGGTTTCTGCAATTAAATGTTTATCACTTGGATCATTAGATTGCTGTATTGAGAGATATTGTCACATTTGACGATAAAAAGACAGGCAATTTTCACCTTGAGATAATTTCTATCCATGGGCGTGACGAGTTTCAAACTTATCGAGTCTCCGCACTGCTTGATCAAGCGTACAACTTGCTCGTGGGAAGCCCATTTCACATCCTTATCACCAATACTCACGATAAAATCTCCTTCTTTCATACCGCCCAGCTGAAAAATTCGATAGAAATATGAAAATCCGATAAAATGAAAAACATTGTTAAATCCACTGACTTACATCAGCGAGGGAGTTGTGATCTACTGCAGCGATTATAACAGGCGCATCTCCACGAACACTAAATCCAAAGCCTTCACCCCCTGGTCCCCGTTGTAGTTGGATGAGACGTGGGGCTGTCCAATGTCGTTTTGCTGAGAAAATAGCGACTGGGCCAAGGGACCTGAAGAGATCATCGACACCGTGCTGACTGAAGTCTGGGTGCGTGATGTTCAATTGGAATTTCGTTGAAGCAATTATATGAGGGGGATCCAGTAATTCTCGGAAATCATCCTCGTCTCCGGCTTCGCTATAATCCTTCAACGTCATATCGTGTGCCCTCTTGAGGACCTTGGCTAAAGCTTGTTTGCCCTTCAACTCTCGACACATCCTCTGGAGTCGTTGGCTCTCCTCATGGAGTACCAGAGCTTCTCTCAAGTGGGCTCTTCCCAATAAATTTCTCTCCTTATCATCCTTTGGCACATTGTAATCAATTTGAGTCTTGCCATCATTCTCTTGAATATGTTCAAGAGTGAGTTTGGTCTCGGTGCGAAACTCAGCGATGGGTCTGTCAAGCAGTCCAGCGGCGCAGTGTTTATGTGAAAGCGCCAGATGATGCTCTCGTTTAACAAGGACCAGGGATATCCACGATTCTGGCACATAATCGCGAACTGGCTCACGGGATATAACACCGTGGACATCGTTATATACAGCTGCCACCTAAAAATTTATAATTGTAGAAATTTTCAAGCCTTATTCGCTAAATCTAGTTTCATAGATTTTTCACCTGTGCAGCTTCTTGAGCAAGATCTAAAGAAACGTCGACATTTCTTCCCTCCCTTGATTGTAATTCCAACTTCTCAAAGAGACACTCTCTAGCCTGGGCGAGCATCAGCTGTACGAGCATATCTAGCATGTCAGGTCCGAGATCCATGCTAGGAGCATTGGTAAAATTTTCATGGATATATCTAAAAGTGCCAGCAGCTCTTAAAAAGGCATCCACCGCTTGATCGAGCCCTTTGGCACTCCTTCTGTCCTGTCTGGCACCCAACTGAGTGTACAATGCACCCGCATTAAAGAGTATCGAGGCCTTTTCGAAAGCAACAGTTCGCTGACAGCTCGGTACTCCTGTTAATGAGTCAAACCACTCGAAGTATATACCCAGACTCCTGTCTGGGGGAAAGAAGCGCCTCTCGATGAAGTACAGTTGATTGTAATAGCGCAGAAGGAGGGCGATTCCTGCTGCATCTCTCGTCGGTGTTCGTGTTGCCTGTTACATATAATCAAGATTTTTTTTTATTCACCTTATTTAGCTGAGGTAGCTTACCATTAAAAAAATATACAAGCTATTATTAATTAACCTGTCGTGTTTCCATGAGTTCTGCAATGGCCTCCTCATAATGCTCTCCGTCTTCGCTGTAATGTTCCAATATAAAATCCTGAAGGAAAAATTCACAGAATGAGTTTCTTTGGCATTGGTTGCCCAGGGATGTTAGATCAATAGGGCCGAGTCAATTTCCAAATAACCCAACTTTCATCGAAAATGGTTGGAATAACGATAGAATTAATCAGAAAGCGTTCAGAACACAACGAAGGTGAGATATCAACCTTGGAAGAGTTAGCCCTACACCAAGAGAACATTGATAAAATTCAATTGATAAACCGCGTGTGCAAAGATCTGAGAATTCTCCTTCTTCAAAATAACCTCATATCAAAGCTCGAGAATCTGAATCGATTGAAGCTTTTGGAATATCTCAATCTTGCTCTCAATAACATTGAAGTGATCGAGAACCTCGAGGGCCTTGAGAATCTCAAAAAATTGGACCTGACAGTGAATTTTGTGGGTGATTTGCGCAACATTAAGAGGCTTCAGGTTAATGAACATCTAGAGGAACTATTCCTAATTGGGAATCCATGCGCGGACTACGAGGGCTATAGGGACTACGTTGTCGCTGTTCTTCCCCAGCTGAAGGAATTGGATGGCAAAGAAATAGCCAGATCTCATCGCATAAAAGCTCTGCAAAAGTATGCAGAGGTCGAGGGAGATGTCATCAGGGGCTACTGGAATTATAGGGAGATAAGAGCTCGACAGTTAGATCGCCATCGGGAAAAAGGCCAAGTGACAATCACGGAGATTCACAAGGGGGAAAGTGACGACGATGAGGCGGCCACTCAGGCATTCTGGAATAGTACCAGTTATCATACGCCTGAGGATCGACGGGAAATTGCCAACAAGGTACGCAATATTGAGGAGAGGAGAAATAAAGGGGATAAGCTGAATGAATCGCCAAAATATATTCTAAAGCTGTTTAGTCCTGAAGGAAGAGCCTATAATGTTAACCAGGGGAGAATTCCGTTTCGCTTAAATGTTGAGGATGATCCGGTGTTTATTACTCTCGAGATATCGACATACAGGTAAGAATACCAATGTGAAGCTCAACAAAAATAATACTCTTCATCACGACTGACGTGAATTTCAAAAGAAAACATTACAAAATTTTCTCCTTTGAAATTTCAAATCAATAAACAATTGGCAAAATCATTAAAGGAAAATAGTTGTTGAGAAAATTCGATTGGATTTTCAGACATTTGGATACAGCACTTATAAATGTCGATGTTCAGCCAAACTACGTAAGAGTCGTCGTAAAAGGGAAAATTCTGCAGTTAACATTACCTTGCGAGATATTAACTGACAAAAGTAAAGCTGAGAGAAATACAGTGACTGGAAATCTGGTGATAAGCATGCCACGCATGAGTCCCCTGACAAGTGTCGTGAAACGCTTGAATAATTCAATCAATAAATCTCCAGGAGTTAATCAATCGTCAAAGGTCATGAAATCGTGTTATACGATCACAAAGCGTGAATTATTGGAAATTGGTCCGCCTGCGAATGACCTAGATTTTTCGAAAATCTACAGGGATCCAAAGACATTGAGACAGGTAGCAATAAAAAACAATTTATCCGGAAAAAAAGTTGCCGATAATTTTGTTGATGACCCCAACGTGCCACCCTTAGAATAAGGAGGAGATGAATAGGTGAATATCGATTGTGTAGGGAGTTGATGTCTGATTCAATCTTCTATTCAGAAAAACTCACCTTGAATGGATCCCGGAAGTCGATGTCTTTCGTCTCCTTGAGGCCCAGCGGGATCATCGGCATGATTGGCTCCGTTCTGAAAATAACCGCAAAGAAAAATAAATAAAAACATGAAAATACAATATCTAATATGGGTATTTAAAGCTCACAATGTCAATGTTTTTTCATTTTTTCCAAGAGATCCGTGACCCACTTGGGCCAGTGGCATTGGTTAAATGCCCGATAAATCATTGCCCCGCTCCCATATATGTTGGGCTTCCCGTTACAAAAATAATACGAGAGTTCACTTCGGCTATAAAATCAGTTTACGGAAAAGAAGGAATGAAGCGGCCGAAACCAAAGTGGCCGCCGAAAGTAAAAATTTTTTTACTCGCTTGTTCGTTTAGCATTAAATTCCTATACGATATTTCCGTTGAATATTTCTGCCTTATCACTAGCATTGACAGCAGAAACTGCCGACTATAAAAAATATGAATATCATCAAGTCCGCAATAGGCATCGTCGAGTAGATTTATTATTATACTAGATTTCTTTATTGAAATCATTTTTTCATGAAATTATCCCCTATGAAATAAAAATGAGCAATAAGAAGTCTTATATGTATAGGGGGTTTTGGTAGGCATTTGATGCAATAGGCCTCCCCGATTTGATTTGATATTGGTCACTTGAGTTAACTCGATGCAAGTGTAAGCATGGAGTAGAAAATTCGAAAAAGAAAGAAAAATAGAAATTGCGAAGAGGTCGACAGAGGCGTGGATAAAGAGAGCATCCATAGTAATATGGTGTATGGGGTATGAGAATATAGTATATGTAATAGTAGGCGGACAGTGACCCAGGAACCGAAGCATGGCGGATGGACCGGCAAACTACACGGCTACGTCGAATGAGCCAAGGTAAAGGCATCCCCATACCATGAGAAACGCTCTCTCGCACCCATTATTTCCTCGGCACCAAAAACCTGTTGGAAAAACGTTATTTTGCCATTGGATCGACAAGTAGTGCATAATCGATATACCCAAACAAATTGAACGCCAGTATAATTGTCACATATTGTAATAGATCAATTATTGCATATCCCCTCATCATCTGCAACGAGATCTCTCCATATTTTCCAAATGTATTCAAATCATTCATCATGTAATCTTTATGAAAACGAAAAAAAAGGGACAGAGTATTATAGAGTTGAATGATGATTATCAAATTCATTGTCATTTGACAAAAAACATATATTTTGCTCGGAGGATAAGAAGATAAAACTATTGAATTCCCTCAATTTGATTCGAATGAAATCCATATCGTGAAAAAAATTAATCGCATATATTATGGCTTATTTACAAGTTATTCATCTATTTTCAATGGAAAAAAATTATATATTCATTAAACTAGAGTAGAATATACGTCATCATTCTATTGACAGAAATAAAAAAATGAAAGTGAAAGAAACATGGTATCGACACATGTTATGGAAAACACCGTATCTCATACCGTTGGCCATTGTCTTAGGTATCACCGAGGGGATATACGATATTTACAACAAGTGGTCGCCTCTTTCGTGCTACAGTTTCTTGCTATCATCGTTGAATATCTTGCGATGTTAATGCAAACCTTGAGTTTTTCATGAATTGTGGCCTCCTGAATACTGCAACAGGGCGGAACAGACCAGGTGTTCATATTCCATTGTAAGGCTGAAACTCCAGTAAAAAAAACGCAGTTTTCGGATGAGTGGGATTCCACATTGAGCGATTAGAAAATCGACCTTGAGATTCTCTCTAAGGATAAATGTCTTAACCTGAGAATAACGCAAAACGCGTGACTTCCTTCAAATCCAATTAATATTTAATTGCTTTAATAATTCTTGCAGCAGGAAATTACGAAAACAGAATACCCGGCATTTTATTATTCAGGTGAATCCCTAAGCGAAAAATAGAGTGCGTAGTTAGAGTTGAGAATAGGATCATTAGAATAACGTGACCTTGACGATGCCCTCGGATACCCAGGAATTTCCTAACAAGATTAAATGGTAATCGGATTTATTTGTAATAGAGACTCAAGTGTTTCAATTTCTCCGTGGTTTTTTTTTTTCGCTCTCCGTAAATTGACTCGATAACTCACCCGTCATTCTGATAGAGTTCAACAGAACTGTTGAGCTCAGCCAGCTGTTCCTTGAGTAACTGAAGATTAGAGTTGACGAAGCTCAGCTCGAGGGCAACAGTCTCCTTTAATTTCCGGTTTGTCGTTGCTCTGAAAGAATTCCCATTAGATTCCATATAATATAGATGGTACCATCTACTTTAACAGATTTATCAATGAATTTGAAGAATTGTCTCACTTAAATAAATTCTCAGCACCAGCACGTAATCTCAATTCTTTGTTGATCTCCTGATTGAGTTTACTCCGTTTGTTTTGCAATTTACCTCGGCATGTAGCAACTCTGGGGTCCGAGCCCTGCAACCATACGCATCGAATAAATATCATTATTTAGTATAACGACATGATGATGTACAAGTGTACAATAGTAAAGAGTACATCGGTTATTATATCCGTTGAACATCTGACTCCTTCATTTCGAACTTTTTAATACCGTTGAGTAATATTCCAATGAGGATCTCCTCTCGATGGCACACATACTTATCATCAGTAACTTTAATGCTTGGTATGAGGTATTTAACGGTTGTGTATGTTAACCCAACGTGGAAACTAGGACCATTTCAAGGTTTATTAGTCGCTCACGTGCGTGACAAATTCAATTAACATATTTTTAATATAATAAATTTTCCGTTATAACAGGTGGACCATTTGCCTTATATTTTCTATATGTAACTGAGACAATAAGATGATTCAAAAAACTTCACTATTCTATTCGAAAATTATTCGGTTGATTGTATTGAATGGCAAAGTCTTACGGCATTACCTATTATACATGCAAAGAGAATTTAATTTTTCGGATGGTCCCTAATTAATAATATTTTTCCGAATAAACCGAATGATTATCCATAGAAAGCCGTGCAATGTTGCCAAGCAACTCAACCGATAAAGTATCATTGATTTCCTTTCCCTTCAATAAAATAAATGAATCAACCAACTTGAACAAACTAAGAATGACCGTAAATATAAATGAGCAGTTGCGAACAGTTGCGAGCAGTTGCGAACAGTTGAAAAATCATAACGACAATAATACACACTATGGAAATGACAATTCAATCGTACAAATTTCCATATGTCGGCAATTTCATAATTCGATTTCTAGGATTTCTAGGAGGGAACTACATGTGACGTTCCGAGTGGCTCAACGTACGTATTGTATAACGAGTTGTGTCTCCTTATAAGTTAGCATTGGTTACGATCGATTGGACTTCCTCGGGACGTCTCCACAAACGATACGATACGTAATAGAGTTGAGGAAGGAATTAAATGTGACGAGAGTGATTGGACAATTTTTTTTCAGGAATTCACATTAAATGACAGGTTCGTTAGTGAAAGTTTTAGCCGCAAGTCCAGATCCAACTGAGGATTTACGCAATTTTGTGCATGTGGATATGGACAGTTGGTTGAACCAATTGGACTTGTCCTTTCTCAGGTCCATTGCAACATCTATGGAATTAATGTTACCCTTTGAGGCTTAACGAGAGTTCAAGCTCCGCTGAAATCTGGGAGAAAAAACTAATGAATCAACATGCCAGTGGAAGTAACAGCCACTCAAATGTTATCAACAGGTGTTGGTACAATATTCACCGCATTAGAAGTGAAGGGAGAAAATTCCAAGTATCGATTGGAAAAATCGTTCGGTCAAACCGGATAATAGTCGAGAGCTATTACGAGGGTTGTAAAAAAGACCTCCAGTTCATTTTCATTATTGAAAAGTGAAAATTTCAGGTGTTTATGTTTTTTAATGCCCTGAATTTCTTACCCCGAAGCGCCGTCTCGAGCTCTCCAGCGTTATATCAGCTTCTTTAAATTCTTTGCACTCTGAGTCCTCACTATTTTTACCCGAGTTTTCCTCGACTCTCACTGAACATTTGTCTGATTGCACCTCTGGCGATGTCACATTATCCCCGGATAACGGCGAATGATGCACCCACTTCAACATGGCCGCTAACACTACATAATGCCCACTATTTCCTTTTCTAAATCTATCTGATCGTTTCTACTTTACAATTATCACTGTTCTTACATTGTCTACAGCTGAGTCTACTATCTCATCACTAATCTAACCACTGTAAACACACAACTTTCGGCTCTCAAATACTTTCATGTCTCATCAGGACTCTGAAATTGTCAATAACAAACTCGATTTCTTCAGCGCTTCAAGGAATATGCTAGGTACGGAAAATTTGCCCATTAATTTTTTCATTGATTTGATCGTTGGGGTTAAAATAACAGATGCGATAACACGCGATGAGTACCTCAGTCAGGGTGTGTAGTGCAAACGCATGGTGCGTATGTATAATAAAAAATTGCCATTATGACGATAGTGATTTACAAAGACGGGCTTCGAATGGTGGAATGGGGAGGAGAAAGAGGGGAAGGAGAGGGCATTTATGGGGATTTTAGCGGATGGTCCCTGTGTGTCTCGGGCACGCTTTCTACACACAGGAAACCGTGCCTTATTATTGACCACTGTACTGATGGGATTAAACTTATTGCCCTCTCCTCCGCACCTGTAACAACATTCCCCGACCTCGTCGGCATGAGCAATGTAACAATTGATGGCTCGCTACTCGATTTCACGCCCATATACCGAGTAGTTTTATGAAACTCAATGTGAATGCCCGTGGGAATTATTATTGATGTGTCAAATTGATGAACAACAGATGTAGAGTCTTCATTTCGTCGGGTTTGCCTTTCCACGTTAGATTTTACGTCACGAGACTGAATTGCCCGCCACAGCATAACACAGCATAATCAGATGGCATAATCAGATGGCATAACCGTCTGACCAATGACATGAGGAAATTTCAGTTAAATCTAATTCGCGGTCCCTTCAATCAACCAATAAGGAATTATTCCGTCACTATATTTTCCCATTGTGTGATGTATATAAAAAATTAAGGTGTTTAAAACAAGAGCGAAAGATTGGATTGGTAGTTGACGCGTCCTGTAAAACCTCCGGTAAATTAAATATTCATATATTAATGATGAAGAATGCACTAGAATCAAAGAATTCGTGAGAGAAGTAATTTTTTCTCAACCAAAAATGAAATAATAATATTTATTCGAAAAGACAGTCGAATAGTCAGTGTAATGGTTAGTGAAGTAGTAGTAGTAATAGTAATAGTAGTAGTAGCGAGCTAACTGTTTCAACGTTGTTCAACTTGTGAAGAGTATCTTGACAGCTGCGTGAGTAGGCTTCCGGTTTGATGTACATGCCCAAGAAGCCACGGGAGAAGGTGCATTGAGCAAGAAAGTAGGCGACCGGTTTATATCGTCTTGTCGCAAAGTACCCAAACATTGATCAAGTACGGTGGAGAATACAGAGAGGAATCATTCCCATACCCATCGTCAAAACCGCGTAAAATTTATTAAAAATTCTTATCCTACAAGTGTTATTTCCATTCTGTATTTTTGTTCCTTCAGCACAAGGGTGCATTTCTCATTGGCATTCACCTATTATCAGTTTATTAAATCATTATTAATCCAACATATGCGCAAAAAAACTTGAAGTCGCGTGAGAAGATTGACAACAAATTAATGCATTATTATTAATTTTTTTATTGAAACACTCGAGGAAATAATGATTGGGCCATACAAATAAAACAAAAAAAAATGATTAATATTACGATGTGAAGAGATTGTCACTTTGTAATATAAATTTGTTGATCACACGTGTAAAAATTGCGGACGCGTGTAAAATGAGTTTGATATTGGGTTGGAAGGTAACCCGTCAGCAGCTGGACCACGGTGGCAACTGACTGACCACTGGCTAGCCGCTAGCTGCTAGCCACTGGCTGTGGTGTTGGTACTGGTGGCGGTCAGCCAGTGTCGGTCTCTTCTTGGGGCCGCTGCAACCTCCAACGGAGAAAGGAGAGGACATAACTCAGCTAAACCACCGCCAACCAGTGGGGGAATATTTACAATATCCACACACATACCAGTACTTTTATTTCATCATGCCTGCATTTTCCCCATACTATCCCTTATTCGTCACATGAATCATGCACTAATCATGCACGCGTAACTATACCCAAATCAACCCATTCACACACTTTTAAATATGCTCATTCAATTATTTATTTTTAATGGTTAAATCAGCGACAACAATGTGTAAACTTATCTAATGCGTCTTTAATGCGCCCATTAACTTTAATAGTTCACAATTTCCAATGGGTTGCCATTAACTCCAATCATTAGAAAAGCCATTAACCAAATAACTCATACCGAATTCCGCTACGTGAATACCATGAATAATCCTGGATTAAAAAAAAAATCATGCACGATTACTGAACAACCAGCTACGTCAAATCATCCTCACCTCCACCGAATCTCATCAACGGCATATTCCCATAGAGCCATATCTTGATATACTCATTTAACAGTAAAAACCTAACGAACAAACGACCAGCCAAACGAGTTCATTCAACGAACGCCAAAACGGTCCCATGGATTTTATCACTAATTAAAATCAACTTGACCTTGAGGATAAGCTAAATCAGGAAAACTATCATCTAATCACAAGTGAGTATACCTGTATATAAATTGAAGTGAATTCTCTCTTAAAAATGGAGGATTTATTGAAACTCGTTCCATAACTGTGGGGTTGAGTATGAGTTTGTCGGAGCCGAACCGGTCCCACTCCACAGAAATTCGATCATCTTTTTCCATCTCCAAATGAATAAATTTCTGATTTGAAATGAAAATATATGTGCCATAGGCCATTGGCGCACGCATCACTGCACCTAGACCGGGAAAGTAGAGGACGTAGAGGGGAAATAATAAACAAGCAGGGCCACACCTTACCGCCCAGGTGGTCGATTTGATTGAGCAAGGACACTGGAATTTCGGGATGAATGGTGAAAATTATAGTTATATACAGTGGGAGCACGAGAGGAGACCCGTTAGTGGCCCTCTTCTCAGCTGTGACTCCTTTGGATGAGCATCAGCTGGTCGCTCCACCACACGCTAAAATATTGAAAAAAAAAAGAATAGGCTCACTTTAATCGTTAAGCCACCACGTGCCTAGACTGCTTCAGTCTTTTCATCCCGAAATATCTCGAATTAGCTGAAAGGATGTCGTCGCTAAATCTCAACGCGGACGATCGCGTAATTAAAATTGGAAAGCTTGTCCTCGCAAGGTTGCTCTGAAATCGCGAGGACATTTATCATTTATAGTGTTGTTCAACTACAAGGTGCGTTCATGACCTCAGTCACGTTTTCTCTATGATAACATATAGAAAATGAGTTCATGTTTATATTTCATTCACATGCGCTTGTAGGGGATTAGGTCGGAT